TTCGTTACACTCGAGCGATTTCAAAACGAACTTTACATCGGCCGTTTTGAAGGACATCGGAAAACAAAAGGGTCCAGATAGATTCTTAAAATTACGATATTTTTGATTCTGGGCGAAACGAGGACAGTACTGGTCCTTACTACGGTTTTTTTTTCTCTGCCAATAATTTCAAATTACTTTTTGTAATACAATATTTTTTACTGTTATTTGTGTTATTTATGAGTTTTTTTTCCCTCCCCCCGTAAAAAAGGTTATTATTAATATTATTATAACACGATACCCGACACAATAATATAATGCGAGTATCGTGCAATTACTCCAGAAAGCGGCTAACCTCCTCTGGGATTGCCGAGGTGTTCCAGACGGTTCGTTTTACAGTTTTTAATCTTTTTCTTGATACGTAGCTATTGTGATACCGATAATATTTCTTACACTTTCCGTAACACGAAAATGACAGAGATCGAGTATGTACTTATAACAAGGTGTGATCTTAAAACACATTTTTTTCTTCTTCTTAGCGAGTTCGTACATTAAGTCATTGAATCTGAAATGTATTTTCCTTGGCACGCTTGATTTTTGGATAAGAAAAAAAAGTCTATCTTATGTACCTATTTATGTATAATAATAATCATAGAAAAAATAATTAAGATGACTCTATTTAGACGTGGTGGGATACGCATAACCAGACAATGCGGTCTCTTTCGCTTTAACCCTGGTTGTGGTATGTAGATATGATGTATTCAACAATCGGACGACGCGTTGTAATATTTATTTCTAGTACATTTCTAGTGGACACCTCGGAGCCGGTTCGCGTACTCTTCGATTATGCGTTTTTCGCAGCACGTATCTCCGCTACGGTCGTCGACCCTGGTCCCTTATATCGCGCTTTATTTTTATCCTTTGGCCGTACGAGGGCGGCATTAGAGTTTTGCAACACTATTATACTAATAGGTGTCTACGTGACCCCGAGTCTCCGGAGACGGACAAAGGTGCGGTATGTTTACCTCCGGGCGGGGTCCTAGACCGAGACCGTCGGCGAAGGCGTGCTTGATAATAATATTTTATATTCATATTACAACGACTATACGTCGGGTGGGAGGGGGGCGGAAAAACCTTCGCGCATCATAAAAGGTCGCGGGATGCCTGAGGTCAGTTCTGAAACCCTGAAACAGTGTAAATAAATAATTTTTGTCATATACTATATCATATTAACTGCCAAACATTCACACATACGCATCTTCATACGAGATATTTATAATTACTTATACTTCACTTTGCCCTGAGAAACACAGAAAAATTCGAAAAACGTAAAACAGTGCAATCGTGTCCTGTTACAATGCGTATGTCGTCCTTCCCAAAAACGGTACGCCTATATTATTATTATTTAAACTATTAAACTCTTGTAATTAAAATATTGTATTTGTAGAGCGTTTTAAAATCAGGACCTTATACCGATGACTAAAAGGTTGGATTTAAAAAAAAAAAACAAAATTATCTGTTGCTTGTGAGAAATATAATGTTTTACATTATCGTGGTACTTTGTTACGCTTTTCTAAGAATTCGGTGTCCATTAGCTATTACGTTTTATGGAATTTACTAAATAAACTTATTTATTTTCTTTTACAGAAAGAAAGAGAGACCGAGAGTCGCGGTGGCTACGGTGGCCGCGTCGGAAGACGCTCGAGATACGTGTTGAACGGTTTCGTCGTCGTTGGACAGATAGCGGCAGCTTACCAGGCGGCTGTTATTAGACAGCGGCGGCGGAGGCGGACAATCAGAAACAGGATATCGTAAACATTTTGCTGTCGACAAGGAAAAGACTACAAACAATTACAAAAAAAAAACAAAAACAATCAAACCAAGTCCGCGGATAATATTATATAGTAGACGAGGAGATGTGATAATTAACGTTTAAGATTATTATTAATATTATTTTGTAAATATTATTACCTACCCAGGTACCTATTATTATTATTATTTTTTTTTTTGTTTTTGTACATTTCGATGATAATCGGTCGTCGCCGGCCGTTCGTTTTCTACTACATTAAACCCACTGTTTGTTGTTCGGCGGGTACACTACACGGCATAGACGCGGATAGAGGGCGCTAATAACCCGCGTGGTATAAACCTTGCGCGTCCTCCACGCGCTCCTGCACGTGGTTACCTCCATATATTATTTATTTAAATTATATTAAATATATATATTATTATGTTTTATTATTTATACATACATTTATATATATACGCATAGGCGAAACAAAACGCGTTTCGTTTAGCAAATTATTACCTACCCAGGTACCTATTATTATTATTATTTTTTTTTTTTTTTTTTGTCAAGTTTATCGATTTTATTTTAAGTACACGTGCGCAAAATTACACGTATACATCAGTCGCGTACACGCCGCTACGACGTGACGGAGTGTGGCTTTAATTTATTATTATTATTTATGTAACGATATTAATATTATGATTTTTTTAAAGATTATTTCGATATTATTACTGTTATATTATTATTATTATTATTATTATGCGCCTGCACTCCGCTGACGTGACGAGTTATGAACGAATTTTGTTTTTTACGCTACATTTTTGTCGGACAAAAAAAAAAAAAATCAACATTTTTTTTTTTTTTTTTTTTTGTCCGATATAATAACGTTCCTATATGTTATATTAATATATGTTTAGACGGGTTTGCGCGTGTACGCGTCACGCGTTTTTCGCGCACGTGTGCGCGATATATTATGATAGTATTTATATATTATATATACGAATATACGAAATATACGACTGCATAGAAAAAAAAAAAAAAAACCACTTGTTTGTACTTTATTACTATAAAAACGATTACATTTTCTTTTCTGAATCCCCGGGTCGAAGTATAGGAGAACGTGCAGTGTGGTACTACGGGGTTGGCAGAGTATGGATAATGCATTAACTGCTCCCAGTGCTTGGTCTTCCTACGAAGCCTTCTATACGTCTTGGGAGTCGGAGATCCGTTTCACAATGCCGGACGATTTACCCCCGGTTTGTAGTTTAAACCTAGTTCAAATCATAAACACTATTATCATAAATAGCACAATTTACCAAATGCAGTTCAGTGATCGATTGTCATCCCCGTGGACCGAATTAAAATATTTTCGATTTCTCCCACAGTCGCGAAGTTATCGCCTTCTATAAGAGTATAAGGAACCGTTATAGTTTAGTTTTTTAATCTTACAATCACGGTGTACAATCATACTTTTGTACGATACCTGTACTCACAAAACTAATAGGCGTAGGTTTCATTTGGATTAAAATGAATGGGGGTCGCAAGTATCTTGAACAATATTTTTGTTTCGGTTGTAGTTGAATGAAGTGTAAGAGTGGAGGGTGTAGTCGGCGGATCGATAAGTTTCAGTCAATTTACCGTGAAACTTGGATAGAAACGCATCAGACAGTTATGGAAATATAAGGAGGTAATCAGTCGAGCGAACTTAACAGTTTAAGTTCAATATAGCCGATAGTGTAACACGTTCAATAGTTCAATAATCAATATTCAGAAAAAAAAAAAAACCAAGAAATTTGTATTCGTTTTACAGACTACTCATAGGGGGCAGCATAACTATTTATTGTTCACGGTTGCCATGTCCCATAATGGCATGACGCCTACGCAAACAGATGCACCTAAAATCAAAATAGAAACGTGTTTCGGTATCGATTTAAATCGTTTCCATTACGGGTTTATGACCGTTTATATTATACGCATTCGTATTATAAATGTCGTCAAATGCAAACCGAAACCAAATTGTATAGTTGCCGATACATTGTATTCAAATAAATCGATAATTGAAAAAAAAATAATAAAAAACTTAAATCAGTATAATAACGCAGTCGTGTATCGACAACACCGACTCGGCAAATACATAGAGACGTGCGTGTGCGTTCGGTAATAATGTATAACGTAATATCGTTAGAGTTTTTAATCAATTTTTATTATTGTTTTCCGGTCGACTATTGTTGGTGTCGGCGCGACAGTGGACAGTGGACGCATACCTATGTAGCAGCGTATTGTACACGATTGTAATATTGTTCTTGCAACTTACTAGTGTACATAGGCGCCGTCCGTGCAAACAGCGGTTTCTAAGTACGGTACACGATTTTTTTTTTTTTTTGTATCGCAAATTTGATCAATTACACTTATTTCGTTGACGGTATCATATTAATTATAGTACTGTTGTGTATTAAATTTAGACGCAGCCAAAGTGAGCACAGTAGTTCACGGCAAGTATCAAGTCACCTCTATGGAATCTCATCGGACGAGCGGGAGTAAACGTTGCTTAAATGCGCAAACGAATTACGAGACTTCGGATTGGGAAATACGAAGAACGGCCTTTCCGAGTGCGTTTTGGTGCCACGTGTTGATTAGACATTACTTATTCAGTAGCATTTTTGAAAATTTTTTAGATGGTGTGTTTAGGAGGTCATTTTTTTTATTTTACCTCGTAAATTGGATAAACAGCTAATTTTGATATAAGTTTAAATGTTGGTAGTGTGTATACTTACATATTGTTTTTCATTTTTTAACTTAAAAAACCCGACGAAATTAATATAAAAGTTTAAATCTACAACCGTCTAAATCTTTAAAATATAATTGTATTAAATATATATTCAAACTTTCTTTATCTAAATTTAGGCATATCACTGAAAATTCATTGGTACTTTTAGATTTAATTTTTTTTTTATCTGTGAATAAATGCTTTCTTTTTCTTGTTTGCATTCTAAAAGAAAATTTCACTAGGAAAGTATTCAAAAGATGTCGTTTTTAATTTTCCCTAGAGTTTTCCCAGGAAATGTGAAAAACCGCAATAAAACACGTGAAAACCGGGAAAATGGAAAAATCGGTACAACATCAAACAAATATTATTAAAGAAAATATACAAAGCCCATTCAATTATTTTACTATAAAATGACATATATATTGTTGACAAAAGATCACTATCAAATTAATTCCACTTAGAATCGTTTTTTCAATGGTTTATCGTTGCTTACAGATATACATTAAAGTATCTGTAACAGTAGCTGCACCCGTACACATTATCCTAGGACGTCTTTTTGCACTTTGGTTTTTTTTCTAGTACCTATGCTAGTTTAGGTATATTCATATTTTATTTAATTCTTATAATAATCATCTGTACTTTGGGCCGTGGCCAGTATGGAAATAAAAAAAAAAAATTATGTATTAGCAATTTGTTAGTATTCTTACACTTATCTATATATCCAGGATAGCATGTTTTACTTCTCGGCTTACGCGATAAACGCTGAATATAATAAATACAGTAAAGTAAACATAATAAAAGTAATATGTCAATTTGAAAAATAAAAAACCAGCTGTTTAATAAAAAAATAATTTTCTAGTCCTCATTCCACTCTGAGCCTCTGTTTATGGTATACATTTAAAAATACAAAAACATAAAACACGACGATTTAAATTATTATTTAAGTTGTTATTTAAACTTATATTATGCTAAAATATGAACTTTAATGTTTTATATCTGTGTTGTATATTATATATTATTTTGTTTATGTTTTAATCGATTTCCAGTTTTTTGAATGTACCTTCCACGCCGAGTTCGCCAAAATTTGGCCGGTTGATTCGTTTGGACAAATCGGCTTTCTGTCTGTTTTCTAACCATCCAGTGTTGGCCTTACCATAATCAAACCATTTGTCTGAAACGATACAAAAACAAATGTTAATTATAATCACAACATCCGGCGAAATATATTACATTGTATTGCGTTAGATAATATTTAGATACATAGACATGTAGACAGGTAGTGAAATTAGTTTATTGCAAAATTATTACGGTTAAATGTATACAATAGCAAATAAATACACACCGCCTTTAATTTCGATTCGTATTGGAGGTGCAGTTCTTAATCAAATTGTATATACTATAAATGTTAAGGGTAAATCATGACTTATACAATAATTTTAAAGAAAAATGAATTCTCGTGGCAATGTAATATAGAGAGTGGTTTGACGGTAATGTTAATTTATAATATTTCAAAGTATAACATTATATACTAGCCTTCAAATTTTTCGATATCTCCGGCGGTACCACCATATTTATCCGGCAGCACGTCTTTTGGAATGAATTGATAAAGGCTTTCCAGCGTTTGATGGACGTATACCTATGTGTAGAAAATACACGACATTAATGATATTTTACTAGTAATTATATGTTTAAAAAAAACCATATGCATTTGTGGTTTGTTTTTATGGTAGATATTATTATATTTTTGTACTACTGTTTACATCCTGGATAAAAAACTTATTATTTCTAAAATTATTATTTTTTTTTTGGATAATTTATGAAACAAGCAGCTCCCAAAGCCATTTCTCTGGTTTTTCTTTTTTGGTTTTGGTATTATAACGTATTATAGAAGCACCCTAGTCCTATATGCTTTTGATATTATTTTAAACAAAACATTCTAACTATATCCATCAAGATTATTTCGTAATCCTTCAATTGAGTTATCTATGCCAGGCGCCTTATTTCTTTTGAGTTCCTTCAGGACTATTTATCTTCATGATTTGTTCCATTTTTGTATATCCTTCGTTCTTTTATAAGTTCTATATGATTTTTCCATTGGTTCGCTATCCTATTTTCTGCCGTATTTGTGACTGCTTACTTTAATGATTCCCATTCGTTATTTATTTCAAAAATCGAATTTTGTTTCCGTATGCGTGTTTCTCTTAACTTATAATTTACTTCTTTGTTATAGTTGTATTTCGTTTCTTCATTTTTTAGTTTGTCTACGTAGGTATCATCTTTTTATCGCGTTTTAATTGTTTGATTTCTTTTTTAGGCCTAATGTGGTTTCTATTATAACGAGGTTGTGATTACTATCAAGGGAAAATACTTCCTAGACGACCCCATTTAAGATGGAAAGAGGTAATAAAAGAGACATAGAGTCATTGTATGGAGGCCCAGATTGGAAAACAAAAGCAGCTGACAGAGAGACTTGGAGGATTGATTGTTTGACGGGTTGGTCCTAATGGTCGTTAATACCCAAAAAGAAAAGAAGAATATTTGTTTAATTTCGTATCTATTTTCCCGTTTTCCTGCGCTTTCCGTGTTTTTTCATTGTTTTCTCATGAAAACAACTAAGAAAATGACCTAACCAATCCCTAACTGATAAGGATACTAAAGCTTGGAGTTTGATAATAATTATTTTTACGTATTTAGTCGAAAAATGCATGGTAGCAACCAGTTTAAATTCACGTTCGATTTTAAAATGAATGCATTCACTCATGGATTCGTTCAAAATTTTTACTTTAACACAGCTGTACATCATACTTTCATATTACGATTACAATTAGTAATTATTATAAAACGTCATCTTATTATCGTCATTTAATCAAACTATAGTTGTAATATTTAAATTTAAATTGTTAATTATTGTGATGAAATTTTAGAGGCCAGTGTAATTTTATTTTGTTATTAGCAATTTTCGCGTTTCTTGTTTTAGAAGAACCGTTTATGGTGTTTAGTGAATTAGATCACTGTGTTCATCAGAGCTATATACAGAGGCAAGAACGCTCACTAGGAATATTAATGCTAGTTTAGTAATAATTGTATAGTGGTTTCACCTTTAAAATAAGGATGAGAAAAATGAATGGAAATATAACATTATAGAGCTGCTTGTTTTTTAAATTGTCCGAAAATATCTGAAAAAAGAAAACACTTTCCGAAATAATGAGTGTCTTATCGAGGATTGATCACAATGAATTTTAACCACGGTTTATATGATTAATTTCAAAAGAGTTATATGGTTATGCTACGGTGTAAATCCTACAGTAGGACGGTCCACAAAATGCAACATTTATTCTCTGCAAAGTAGCGCCTCCGGCGGAATATATTAATATCTAGATGATAACGTTTCGCAAAAATACCAATCGCGTATCATATAATTGCAATTTGAAAACTAGATGATCACGTTACATTGCATAGCTTTTTTCATATTTTTTGTATAAACCTTTGTATGCGACTCATGACGTAACCATTCTATTTATAATCATTATAATTTCAACTTACTCTTGTTTTAATTTTGTTCGGCAGCAACATTTTAACGAAGGTGAGAAGCTGGCCTATGAACGCCGGCGGATTTATGTAGTGTATGCCCTTCACGCTTACCGGGAACGAATTCTATACAAAAAAATTAAATGTTTTTAACATTATTGATCCTGAAATAATAAGCATCGAATTTTAACAAACTATTCGCATGTTATTTTCTCATTGAACGAAATTTATTTTTAAAAAAAGCTGATATACTGTTGATGGGCGTGCCACTGTTATAAATGGGAAATTGGGGATTTAAGAGATATAAAGCTACTAAATTTATATCTGTGCACAACGGTAAATCATTGCAGGCAAAATACGATTCTCAGCGAAGTTCGGTCAAACATGCTTAAACGGAATTTGAATTTCCATGTTCCATAGGTTTTATCGGACTGCCCCATGGCACAAGATGGCGATGCAAATAAATCAAACCTCAACGATATACTCACGAAACATAAATCGATGCAATTTTTGGTCATGGTAGGAGGTAAATTCATAAATTGACCTATAGGAAGGTTTTCTAAGTCAAACAAGAAAATTTCTCCGTGCATTGGCTCGATGTTCATTTGCAGGTCTAGAATGGCCAAGAACAGTTGGAAGAAGAGTTTGAAGTCAACTTTCATGTCTTTCTCCATCGGCTTCATTCTAATACACATCACTCGGTAAGCCTCTGGTGTCATTTTCGGAAACAGGCATATCGTACTGCAATAATAATAGCGTTAAGTTAAGACAACTTATTACAATGGCTATTATAATATTATTTTAAAAACAAAACTAATTAATTCGCAGATATTCGGTTTTTATTTATATCATATCGTACCTCAAACAAATAGCTGCATATTTAAAACTTACCCGTTTTTCGTATTAAATAAAATCCATTCCCAGTCAAACGTACAAATAAATTCCGGATGTTCCGCTCTGGCAACGAAGTACTTGTCGATAGTCTGTTTCGCTCGATGCAAATCGTACTTGCATCCGATGATAAAATGCTTCAACCACTTTCTATCTGTGAAAACACACACGAATATGACGATTTATAATTGTAGTTTGGTAATGACAGGGAAAATCTTTTAAAAATGAACTAGTTCAAGTTCGTCAAATTGAAATAACGCATGTGTAGTATAATAATAAGTGAATTATTCATATTTAATATTGGTTTTATTTTAATGATTCTGTTTATAAAATTTAGTGAGTTTTTTTAATATTAGGTTTTTTTTTTGTTTATATTTATAAATGTATAATGCAAACATTCCCTAATTAGTTCATATCAAATAATATTATAACTGACCAAATGTAAACCATTCTGTAATGATTAATATTTATTAATATAGATTATATCTGACAAACACATTCAAATTTAAAATTAAAATTAAAAACTCAAATAACTAGATAGAATATGATAGCATTTAATTAAAAAATATATAATATTATATTAGTCATGCAATTTATTATTATTATTTATAATTGTAATATATTCTATATTCTGATTTGTACCATTATCTTTTATTTATTTGTAGAACGAACTATATAAATACACAAACAACATTCGCATTTCGTTTTCTTCTATGTTTAGCAAATAAAATGTTAATAAAAAACTTAACTATGGTCTATAAAAGTTAACTTGTCATCAAACCAATTAAAAATCGTTCACGTTCACAAAAGAAATAAAAACTGGGTTAACGTTCAAGTTTAGTTTTTGAAAATAGAATACGTTAATTTAGTGTGAACCGAGCTCTTTCCAATCGCTGTTAATTTTGGGACGTTCGTTGGGTATACAAGACGATATTAGGTCAAATTCGCTTTCGTCTTCTTTGCATTGACACCATTTACAATTTAATATTCTTTCTGAGATTTTTCAACTATTACTTTGGAATTCCGAATATCACAATTCTCTCGCAAATGATATCGTTTTTATTTTTGTTTTTCGTATATAATTTAAAAGCCTATTTTTAAGTCATTATATGAATTTGTTTAAATTGTTTTTTTTTTTTAAATTCTAACTCTTACTCCTTACACTTTAAACTATAGTTTACATTTTTGATTTTCAAATGTGAACTTTTCTCTCTTTTAAACGGGTTTTAGTACCTAGTGGCCAAATCATTAGCCAATTATTATTTATAATATGACCACTTTAACCGTAATAAATAATATTAAAATCACAATAAGAATATAATTTAAAATAATTAAATACTCCTGTAATGGATGAAAATATGTCCACGGAAAAAATGTTCAATTTTTCCATCGCTTTTTTTTTCGTCTGGCTATTTTTGATTCTGCTATTATTACCTAAATTTGAAAAAGTGATAGTCATTCCTTACTTTTCATGTCTGAGTTATTAACTGTGTTTAAAAAGTAGGGGGATCCTATTTTAAAATCAAAATTGTATACACATTTTAAGTAAAAATTAAGTAAAAGCCTTCACAAACCATGTTAACAACTGTCATGATAAACTTGTAATTGTTATTTTTCATGCGATGATGCGCTCTTCTCATTTGATTTATTATAAAAACAATTATTCCAGCTGACCAGATAGCATCTCCGCCCGTTTGTTTTACAATGGATGTTCAATAGGTTGACCATGACTTTTTTATGTATCTATCCCTAGATAATATTAGTATTAGTAATCTCCCTACGTTTTAGCCAGTGTTGTACGTTACCTCACGAGACAACTTACCTCTATTAACAGTTTCTTCCCCGATCCCACCATCATACCATTTGATGTACCCCAAGGTGGTCATCTTAGACCCATTCTCTTCATAATATTCATCAAGTCTCTTACAAAAACTACCAAAAAAACGAATTACTTATTAACGAACTAAATTTAAAATACAACAAAAAAAAAAAAAAAGTCAATTGTGGTTTTTTGTTTTTTTTTTTTCAATCAAATTATATTTATTGGATAAATATTTATAATAGAAAATTTAAGCTATAAAAATACGAACACACTTTGCATGACGAATGGGCTACTGTTGTAGGTGAGCAGTTGAAAAGATTTATGATTTTCATCAAAATTTGGTATTAAAATTGTCAAAAAAAAAAAAAAAATACTAAGTACATAAAACTCAACTTTTTCGTATTGGCCATTAAGTATAACTGATAATTTAATCTTAAATTTTCAAGCATTTCTGTTTGGTCTAACAATTTTATTTACAGAGTACTTACTTACCAAATAAATATTACAGAAAAAACACTAGCAAAATTGATATGTCCATAAAAGCTCAAAAATGGCTCAATATTTTGAAAATTTTACCACGTATGTAAAAGGCAAATATAAAGTTGCTGGGAGAATCATTGTAAACAGTATAAAAAAATTTAAAAAAAAAACATCATTGTAAAACTAATAAATTTCTCGCTCTGTTCAGAATCTGAATTTTTAAATAACGAAATCGTTATGTCGTAATTTGACACAAATCGTATTTTTCTTCTTCTTTGGTTTATCCCAATTATTATGAAAAGTATTTTAGACATTAAAAAACGACTATCTTTGTCAGTGGCTATTAAAAACAATGAAAACGATAACGTCAGCGCCGCGCCGCCGTAAAAATTTACCTTTGATCTATAATTTTCTTTCCGGTTATTTCACAATTATTTTGTGTACGATTCTTAAAAATCAAAAAGCGATCTCTTCTATGTTCCGTCTAGACGAAATTTCTTTTCAGAAAAAGATGCTATACTTGATATTTCGGAGTAAGATTATTGGTAGAAAAATTGTTCTCGAATAGAAGAAAAAAATCACGCATCATAGTAAAACCAATAGATCCCTCGCTACACTCCGAATCTAAAATAAATGAAAATTAATGAAAATAATGTTAAAATAAAATATAATACGCTTTAATGATTCCCGCGTGGTTTGTTAAAAAAATATGAAAATCGAGTGCACCCTCAACAGAAAATCGCCGGTTTGTAATTGATGGATCGTCTAGTATAGCACCACTTTTATCTAGTATAGAACCGCTTTTAATATTATTTTAATAAAGCCCGAGAAAACCGATAATTTCCGGATCGTTGTGCTCTCGGCTTACCTGTAATTTTGGGCAAGTGCGGCTGTTTAGATATCCATTCCACGAGCATTGTGACATTCTCGTCAATTTGGTCGTCGGGCAGATAGTAATCCAGTTTAGTCACGAACTCCCGTTGGGCTACGTCGAGCTGCGTATCGATAATCATTATAATATTATTATTAAATTTCGCGTATAAAATGTGTAATATTCACAACGGAAAATTCAACCGTTTTCGCGTACGGAATCCGCAAAATGAACTACGAAAACGAACATCAATCGTTATAAATATCAAAACCCATCAAAAAAATAATTACGATTGTTTAATTATGTTCGTAATATTATGCGATTTTGAAGACTCCATGGTCACGGCCTCCTTCGTAATATTATTATGTTAATTTGTGTTCTGGCTACGCTTTACGATCGATTTCATGTGCCCAGACGCCCAGGCTGTAATAATAAGTGTGTTCCTCATTAGCCCAAATTTTGATCAATTAGATTAAAAATCCTGTGCGTTTATACGTTCTTTGATCGCCGTACCGATGGCCTTTCAATGCATCGGGCGGTCAACTATCAGACATGGCTGAGCGCGATTGATACGATGCATTATCAATAAACAATCGAACCGCAAACTAGATGCGGAAAACTGTTCAACGAAGAACACAATTATATAGGTACTTATTGTCAGATTATTAACTTATTGTTACTGTATTTCGGTAATAATTCGCATATGGTATCCCATGAGAATAATTATTATTACGATAATTTGCCGTGACTACTCCATTTATCATCTTCAGACATATACGTAGGTTTCTACGGTGTATAACGATTATAGTATATGCCTTCAAGGCCGCACTCGAGAAAATTTTCAGAGGTTTAACTCCCTCACCTCGAAATTTGTTCGTGTTATATTAGTTATGTAGCACGCAGCACGTTTTTATAATAACAATACAACTTTGTTTAAACATTTTACAAAATAATTTAATATTGCATTTAATGTGCTTGGAACGCGGTTCTTAACAATCAATGTATGTTTATAATGGATATAAAAATTGATTATTAATTAATTAACAAAATACAGAAAAACAGATTTTATAAAAAATTGTACACGCAGATAACAAATGATAATCTTAAACATTAGTATACAAAATGGAAATTACAAATCAGATAAATCGAAACGTTTTATATATTTTTTAAATAATATAACATTTTTTTAAATTATTTAAATTGATAGTATATAGTGAACGACATAAATTTATACCTTGTGTATATAAACGCTTTTTTGACCAAATACTGTTGTACTCGTGATCTAACAAAGGAATTACATTTTTTTATATTTATACAAGCCAACTAGTACCGATAAATTATAAATAAACTTAAAATTGATTTCATCAAATTCTTTGTAAACCAATGTGGTGCTAGTTGTCGTTGACAGATGTAGTAAGAATTTAATAACACAAATCAATAGTAACAGTTAATTATGAGTCTTGGAATATTTTTGGAAGCTCCTCCCCAAATGTATATACCATTCGAATAAACTGATTGTACTAACGCAGATAAATAATTATTTTACATGAACCGTTAAATATAAATCTAGCCTTATTAAAAAAAATAGACAAATTTACGTAAATTATTATTGATATAACTAATGTGGCTATCCCACTCATGCCTGTAATCTGTAAATAAGACCGGGTATTTTATTTCTTTAACCTTTTCGATTGTATTACATTTTTAAAAAAAAAATATTAATATAATACCATAGTTTATAATAATATAGAGTTCAAAATTAACACGGCTATTTAATTCATAATTAATTAATAGCATACAGTTGGGTATTGCGATTTTAGTGTTCGAAAAAAGGCATTTATGTCTTTTGATAAACGGTTAATAAACGATTTAGGTAATGGGTTATCGAAATCGAAATACAAACATTAGTTTAACTTGCTATAGGTTTATAAACAGGGTTATAAACACCGCTATTTTCAAAGCAACGATTACAGTTGGTTATGGTGAATCTAAGCCATTAGTTCCAAGAACACCATCAAATACTGTACTAAGACTGCATCCGTGTATCGGAAGATCGTGTGCGGATAGGCCTATCGGGAAATCGGGATTTACCCGGTAGGCCCCCCCATCGATATAACATTCAAAGGCCTCGATAGCCCAATTCCGAAAAATAAAAATAAAAAGTTGAAATATTTATAATATCAGTGTACCAACTGGCGGCTGTACAGTATTAACGCGTCTTTGTAATATTTGTATATTCCATATTAGGAGCCTCTGTATAGTTCGCGTTGATATCCGTATACAGGCGCGCATCCATAATTTTATTTCGGGGAGAGCTGACCAAAATGTACACAAATTATCATACAGTAAAATAAAATTAAAAAAACTGCTGTCCTAGGATAATTTGCGTTGTTAACACGCCGCGCGCAGTGCCGCCACAGTAATGATACTCCACTACTCTCCTCCAATCCGAACTTAAAAGGGGAATGTCTCGGTAACGGATAGACGGAAATTAAAAATGTCATCGCCAAAATTTGTTTTGACTAATACCCCATTTATTTACGGAATTTTTAATATAGGTTACTATTTGAAAATCAAAAACAGGTAGTGGTTTTACTCCCGAAAATAACGGTGAAAAAAAATAACATGAATATAAAATTGTAGAGCTGCTTGTTTATTAAATGTTTTAAAAAACGAAATCCGAAAAAAGTTAATACTTTCCGGGATAATGAATGTAGCCACTTGAATGGATCACCTTATACATATATCATATTATGGTAAAATAATTACATATTATGCATTATATATTTTCTTTCATAATATTTGTTTAATATCGTACCTATTTTCTCGTTTTTCCTAAAGTTTTCCCATTTATTCGGAAAACTCCTGGGAAAATCAAAAAATTACTATACTCAAGTACATCCCCAGTCAAATTTCCTTTAAAAAAAAGTGCTATCATTGTAAATCGGAGCAAAATCGCCTGTTGAAAACTTGTCTACAGTAAAAATATATAGATTTCGCGTATTTTCTGGTTTTTCACATTTGTCGAGAAAATTCCTGAGGAAATTGAAAAATTACGTCTCTACAGTACGTACCCACACCGATTTCCTTTGAGAAAATGTGGTACACTTAAAATTGAAGCAAGATTTCTAGTAAAATAGTTGTCCATAGATAAAAAAGAATAAACACCTTTGTAAAACCATAAGGTTCTTCGCTTCACTCAGAATCTAAAATTGTTATCATTTTGATTAGTATATTTGTTGTACAATTGATTGTGTAGTATTTATGATTTGATTGTAAAAACTACTATGAGCGAAACGATCATTTTTTTTATATATATATTATATAGACCCTACTTATATGTGGCCCTAATACATATATCCCGGTGAAAAAAAAAAATACCTATCCACCTACGGGAAGATGATTCTGTGAATAATCCATAATAATCTGTGTTAGATACATACTGCATGTTTGTGGTCAAACTCTATAAACTATAAATTATTATCTTTTATGTTTTATGACGATACATATTGTTTGAACAATGGTAGAAATAACTAATTCTACCGCGTTTTTTAAAAGAGTGTCAATTGGCACTCTTACACCCAACGGTGCACGCCACTGAATTATGAGTGTTCGGTCTCTACGATTAGTTTTCACTGAATTACCAAAAAAAAAAATCAAATGTAACAAAAACCGTCACTGTGAAAATATTTCCGTTTTCCCCGACCGTTTTTCTCAGCTCTTTTTTTTTTCTCGTTATCAAGAAAACTGCAAGGAAATTCAAAAACCGACCATCTAGACAACGGTTTAATCTTATTCAACTAAACCTTATATTCGACCAAAAGTCGCGATCGTTGAAATGCGGATTACCCGTGTTGCTATATTACGCGCTAGACGGACAGAGAAAAAACAAAGGTTAACATAGCGAAGCCGATTAAAACACGTTTAAAGCGCCGAGGGTTTTCTACATTAATTTACGTTCCAACACGAATGACGGCACGCGCGATACCCGGTTAATATTATTGTTATTCCGTTCAATACTATACAGTGTTATCGGGGTTACGCAATTATTTAGAAACTATCACACCGTTTTAACGTCATCAAATCGGCCCCGGAGGTTTGGATAATCGCATACTATCACGGCAGAGCACACGATGTAACATAACGGTTATAAAAATGCGGTCTTAGCGTTGAAACGTGTCACAATCGAAACGGATTCGGACTAATTTACAACCGTCGTAGTTTAAGATCATGCGACACGCGTGGAATCACACGTAAAATCGGTCGGCTATAATAATTTTATATTGCGCAGTCGTCCGTCCGCGGCCGGCAGATAATTGAACGGTAATCAATGTGTTTTTCAATTAGTCAGTAAAACGACCGAGACTATTCGCGGTGCATCGCGCGGTTCTACAGCCTCGGCAATCTATAATCGCGAGTACATTGTGCGATTTCAAACTAAATAATAATAATATTCTAATCTAATATAATATAGGTTTTGATCGGGTGATTGGTGAAATGGGGTGTAGCTAGACCGGGGAATTGCGCCGTGCAGAAAAAAAAGAGGACACCAAAGAACGTTTGTAAAATGAACTAAAAAATAAATAATAATGGAACGTGTGAACGGCACCACAACACTATACGGTATACATGTATTTATCGGGGCGCGTTTTTTACGTAGATACTGATGTAGGCGTGGGATTACCTATTAGGTGGTCATATACATTAACTTGCGCCAATCACACGGACGTGAAGTCAGCATCACGCGTGTACCAAATATCTCTAAAACCCTTATTTCAGATTTGTTAGACGTTGTTTGAAAATCGTTAGACTTTACTTTCCGAGATGGACGAAGGCGTAGCGCCGACTTCGCGTTAGCACTACATAAAAGCTAAAAGTTTCGCAAACGGGTCTCAAAATCATCACACACGTCGGTTAGACGTTGTTTGATAGTAGACGAATTTACGCGTTTACGTTAATGACATTATAAAGGGAAAAAATAAGTCAAACAACGTTTAACAAATTGTATTCTAATGTTCCGTTTTTATTTTATTTTATAATTTTTAGTCGTGTGAAGTGAAAAATAACTTGTTCACTATGGAAATTATAAAATTTGATCATAAATTATTGATAATAGAGAATGCACGAACATAATATTATGCTGTACGAATTATTTTTCGTTAATTTTCCGAATAGACACACATCGAGTAAAAAATGACGAAGGGAGTGAACCGTTA